CCCCCTCCCCCCCCCCCCCCCCCCCCCCGACAGACAGACAGACACCCACTCTTTTAAACAAGGTGGGATGGGAGGAGATAACAGAAAAATGATGCTCTGGTTTTGTGATGGTCTGGTCTGAGATGGAAGTCCTTGCTTCCATGCCCCATTCTACTAGAATATAGTAGATTTGGGGGTTTTGCTTGTTTTTATTCCGCTTCTAGAACCAGTAATATTTGCTCCTCATGGTTGGGGTGGCGAAAGGGTGTATTGACTGTTGAAATGAAAGCTTAGATTTTAGTGCCTGGTATGAGAGAGTGGCCGCAAGACCAATCCAGTATTCATATGAGTCCAGTAATGCTTGGTCTCTGATCCTGCACAGGCCACTCATTGCAGCCAAGAACCCGAAGATAGCTGTTTCAAAGATGATGATGGTACTGGGGGCCAAATGGAGGGAGTTCAGCACTAACAACCCCTTCAAAGGCAGTTCAGGAGCATCTGTGGCAGCTGCTGCGGCTGCTGCTGTGGCTGTAGTCGAGAGCATGGTGACCAGCGTGGATGTTGTCCTGCCCCAGCCCCCTGTTGATGTACCACTTCGTAAGGCGAAGACCAAGGAGGGCAAAGGTAAGATGAAGAACTAGTGAAGGTGAAGTTCCTCTGATAAAGGTGCTGGTTGGCTTACCATTTCTCTCCTTCCTAGGGCCAAATGCCCGGCGAAAGCCTAAGGCCAGTCCTCGTGTTCCTGATCTCAAGAAACCCAAAACTAAAAAGGTGGCTCCTTTAAAAATCAAATTGGGAGGATTTGGCTCCAAGCGCAAGAGATCATCAGTGAGTGACTCTGTAGTCTTTTACCTCTTTGGGTAGGGGTGGTGATGGGACTTCTATCTGCGTAGCTTGGCTCTCCCCAATAATACTGTATATTGGGGTAACCCTAGGATGCAAGGGGCTGGCTGACCATGACTGCCTGAGTTCCCTTTCTTTCTGCATTCTTCAGAGTGAAGACGATGATCTGGATGTGGAATCAGACTTCGATGATGCCAGTATCAATAGCTACTCTGTTTCAGATGGATCCACCAGCCGTAGCAGCCGCAGTCGGAAAAAACTCAAAGCTGGGAAAAAGAAAAAAAAAGGTATTTAGGTCTGTCATCTGCTAGAGAGATGAATCTAAGTAAGGACATGGGAGTAAAACTGGCTGTTGGTAGCATCTAAGGCAATGACTTGCAACCAGGGTGCTGTGGCAGGATGCTGTTGAGCATGTAAACAAGATTCACAAAATAAACCTAGAGACTTTAAAATGGGAACCCATAGCATCAAAAACATTATGACTTACTGTGGTCTTTCTGAGTTCTTTGCAATAATAGAATGGCTCTTATTTTTCTGTAGTCAAAAATAAAGTGAAAACTAAGAGCTGATATTTTTTCCAAGGTGTGCCTTGAATTCAAAAAGGTTTAAAAACTACTAGTCTAAGGGATACAGATCTCCAGAGCAGGAGAATTGTTTTAATGGTGACTGGGAGAGAAATTGAGAAAAGGAAAAAGCAGCTCAGGAAGGTGTCCCTTTTCAACACTGACAAGCCCGTACCTCATTTTGTTCTTCAGGAATGTGTTCTGCCTTTGGCTCTGAGGCATGACAAGATTTCTTTACAGCTTTTGCTGGCACGCTTTTTTCTCTCTCCTTGGTTTCTCCCTGTTCTTTCTAATATGCAGATAGAAAAGCCCTTGTATCTAGCCTTTGTAGTTTGAGGGATTATCCCAGTTGTTGCAGAAAGGACTTCAACCCTGCTTTTGACTTGCAGTGATGTAATGCTTGTCACCCTCCTTTTTCACTCAGGTGAGGAAGACTCCGCAGTGGCTGTAGATGGCTACGAGACGGATCATCAGGACTATTGTGAGGTGTGCCAGCAGGGAGGAGAAATCATTCTCTGTGACACTTGCCCCCGTGCCTACCACATGGTTTGCCTGGATCCAGACATGGAGAAAGCACCAGAGGGCAAGTGGAGCTGTCCACATTGTGTGAGTTTTCAGGTTCCAAGAAAAAGCCATTGAGGAAAAGTTGTTTGTACTTCATGTTGGGGCAGAAGATAGAATGACTTGGAATCTGGTGCCTTTGATAGGATGTGAGAAATCTATAGATCCCGGACTAACAATTTATCTCCATGTCAGGAAAAAGAGGGCATTCAGTGGGAGGCAAAAGAGGATAACTCTGAAGGTGAGGAGATCCTGGAAGACGTTGTGGGGGATGCTGAAGAGGAGGACGACCACCACATGGAATTCTGCCGTGTCTGCAAGGATGGAGGAGAGCTGCTCTGCTGTGATGCCTGTCCCTCTTCTTACCACATCCACTGCCTAAATCCCCCACTGCCAGAGATTCCCAATGGAGAATGGCTGTGTCCTCGCTGCACTGTGAGTCCCAAAACTATATTAACTCAAATACAAGATGGCCCTGAATAATAAGATTCCTCCCCACCCCGACTTTAGATTCTGTACGTGGAAAAATTCATAATTTTGTATAAGTAGAATCTAATTATTGGAGTGCTTGTCACTGTCTGTCTTTTTTTGTCATTCATCCCACTCCCACTCCTACTCCTACTACTACAGTAGGGGAAAATAGTGGCTGTGGGGGGACAGGTGGACCCTTTGCCCTCTGCTGCCACCGCCCCCCCAGCTTTATTGTCAGACCCTGCTCAGGCTCTGTTCCCGCCCCAAGCACAATGTGGAAATCAGCTGCAGGTGGTAGTAAGGGGGCCAAAGGGACAAAAAGGAGGGCAGAAACTGCTGTGGGCATAACTGGCCCCAAACCTGCTTGCTGCAAATTTCAGCACAGGTACTCCATATTCACACTTTTTTTGAGCACAACTTTTGTACCTACTTATACATAGTATAACTGTTCGTGGTATTAGTCATGAGCCTTTTGGCTCTGGACTTATTGTATAGTTCATTGGGTTAGGCCCCAGCAGAGTAAACAACATTTTGAGCCATAATGACCCAATAGCCCAGCACTGCTCTGTGTATATCCTTAAAATACCATGGAGATATACCTCTTCTTATATGTGAGTAAATACAGTCATCTCTTGGAGCATGTAACTGCTACTCGCTAGCTTCTCACCTTGCTGTCTGGCTATCTGTTTTTGGGGAGGGCCCTTTCTCTTCTAGCCTTTATAGCTTGGACACCGTCTCCAGACTTCAAGAAGGGGCTCTGAGGCCCCCAGTCCTAATTGGCCATCTTTCTTTGGCAGATGTATATAGCTAATGTGCAAAATATTTCCGTGACCTTGAGTCTGGGTCCATGGGAGTGTTTTTAAACACTTGCATATAATCATCTATGTCCAACTTCTGTAGTGCCCAGCTCTGAAAGGAAAGGTGCAGAAGATCTTGATCTGGAAGTGGGGCCAGCCACCTGTGGGTCCACCACCACCACGACCACCTGATGCAGACCCTAGTGCTCCTCCCCCCAAGCCTCTGGAGGGCCGGCCTGAGAGACAGTTCTTTGTCAAATGGCAGGGCATGTCTTATTGGCATTGCTCTTGGGTGTCTGAGCTACAAGTAAGTGAGGGTCCTTGACCTATGAAGGGGGTGGTTTCTGACATCCATTTAGGAGAGTGTTGTGTTGTGCCACTAAACATCTGTTCCTGTGTTCAGCTGGAGCTGCACTGCCAGGTGATGTTTCGAAACTACCAGCGTAAGAATGACATGGATGAGCCACCCTCAGGGGATTTTGGTGGTGAGGAGGAGAAGAGCCGAAAACGGAAGAACAAGGATCCAAAGTATGCTGAAATGGAGGAACGCTTCTATCGCTATGGGATCAAGCCAGAGTGGATGATGATCCACAGGATCCTCAACCACAGGTGAGGAAGGGAGCAAGCGTATGTGATGGCAAGATCTCTACATTCTTAACCCAGTGACATTCAAACTACTTGAAGTCATGGGACCCTTTAATCTTGCTTCTGCTGTGGAACCCCTACCCCATCCTAAAAACTGATTTGGAGCCAGGCAACCCAGTCCAGCAATGGTGGCACGCCACCTCCTGGCATGCTTTGCCGTTACCCCCAATCTCCTTCTGGAACCCTTGATTTACCTATCGCAGACCCCAAGGTTCCACGGAACACGGTTTGAAAACCACTGCGCTGTCATATGGAAAGGTGGGAACTTGCTTAAGTGCTACATAAAGGAGGGAGACACTTGCTGAATCCTCAGTCACAGGAGGGTGGACTCAATGTGCAGTACAGTGAATCCTTAACTGGAGACTAGATGCACTCGACAAAGGGGTGGATTATCAAGGGCAAAGGGGGGTGTAATAAGGCACCCTTTAATGTGGATGAAAGCGTGATTGGGAGCTCCAGCTTCAATTTTATGCTGGCATTCATAGGCTTAACTTCTCTCCTGCCCCTTCCCTTTCAGTAAGGGGCTTTCTTGTCTCTTGATCTTTCCTCCCTGGTGTATGTGGTTTAGTGAATAGTGCTTGTTTCTAGGCATAACCTTTATCTATTTACTTATTTATTTATTTTTTGTGATCTTGCTCAGTGTGGATAAGAAAGCGAATGTCCATTACCTGATTAAATGGAGGGACCTACCTTATGACCAGGCATCTTGGGAGAGTGAGGATGTGGATATACAAGATTATGATCTCTACAAACAGGCCTACTGGAATCATAGGTAAAGGGTTTGGAGGAGGTGGGCAGGTACCTTTTTACTATATGTAAGTGAGGGGGCTCAGGTCCTGCTCTCCATCTCTCTAGCTCCTCTTTCTATTTGCCTCTTCCAAATTTCATTGTGCTCATCTTTTCCCTTGTGGCTGTCTTTTGAACAGAGAGCTAATGAGAGGTGAAGAAGGTCGGCCTGGCAAGAAAATAAAGAAGGTGAAGATGCGGAAGCTGGAGAGGCCCCCAGACACTCCCACAGTGGATGTAAGTTGCTGCGTCCTGCTTAAAAGCTATGTTGGATTCTGAGGTGAAGAGGAAAATATCTTTTTCAATTAATAACACTAGCTGGTATCTGATTCAAATATTTTTAGTAAGTGCTTAGGCTGATGGCAAAAGACCACTGCCTGTAGAGTCTCCTTGAGTTGAAGGAGTTTTTACATCCAGGCTTATCTTGCCTTTTCAGGACTGTCTGTCATGAGGGTAAGTAAATCTGAGTTCTTGAGCGAGAGAAACATTCTTCAGAACCAGTAGTGTAGAGCAGAGGAAGGGGGAACTTGGCCTGCTACTGTGTGAACTATACCTGTCCTGGGAGAGAAGCTGATGCCTTAGAAACTAAAATCTTGGCTGGGGCTGGCTGGCTTACTAGAGACTTAACTCTCCTCCTTTTTTTTTTTTTTCCGTTGTAGCCAACAGTGAAGTATGACCGACAGCCAGACTACCTTGATGTAACAGGAGGGACCTTGCACCCGTACCAACTGGAAGGGTTGAACTGGCTACGCTTCTCCTGGGCCCAGGGCACAGACACTATCTTGGCTGATGAAATGGGGCTGGGCAAAACTGTGCAGACAGCAGTGTTCCTATATTCCCTGTACAAAGAGGTGAGGGGCAAAAGTGGCTTGGAATGCTCATTAAGTGGGGGGTGCTTTCCTGTGCAATGGGTGCATGTATAACATTCTGGAGGACTCTTCTTCAGGGCCACTCAAAGGGACCCTTCCTGGTGAGTGCCCCACTTTCTACAATCATCAACTGGGAGCGGGAGTTTGAGATGTGGGCTCCAGACATGTATGTGGTGACCTACGTGGGAGACAAAGATAGCCGTGCCATCATCAGAGAGAATGAATTCACCTTTGAGGACAATGCCATTCGAGGGGGCAAGAAGGCTTCCAGGATGAAGGTACAGAACCGTAAGATGTGTTTCTTGAAGTTAAGCCCCTGATTACAGTGGACTGACTGGGAGTTAAAGATTTGAGATGGGCCTTAAGACTCCTAGGAAACTAGTTCCTATCTGAGCTGTAGAAGCAAAGACCGTTGCTATTTGAAAGCTATTGGGCAATTACCTAGGTGGTATTTGATGGAAACTTTTCTAATAGGGCAGGTGGTGCCCTCTGGAGAGCGGTCAAAAGTTTAGTAGTAAATGAGGGAGGTTCTGGGACCAGGTGACCTAGAACTTCCTTGGCTCTGACAGACTTACTTGGACTCTAGGCAAGTTCCCCTTGTTTCTGTTGAATCTGAAAGTGCTGGCTTTGCTTTGCAAAAGAATTTGAGGTCTGTGGCATTGGGTAAGTGCCAGTTTAGAATTGCATTTCTTGGGTATGTTTGACTCCTTCAGGGAACCAATAAAAAGGCTAATTCCTCTGTATCAAAAAAGCATCAATAAGTCCACTTGTAGAGGGCTGAGCAGTAGAGAATTTTTCACTCTTGATGGTGACTAGCTATTGCAGAATTTTAAGCTTTTCCAAAAACCCTTGAACCTTCTAGCTGAAAGATTGCCTGTCAAGGTTGGATCATGGCAGTGCTGTTCAGAGCTTTCTAGGAACCCAGGGAAGCTGGGCCTCTTCTGATGAGCCTGGAAAGGAGAATCTTATTTAATTTCCTGCTGGTACTGCTTGAAACTTCAAGCACTAGCAAAATGACTCCACTCTGCCCTGCTGAGCTAGTGCTCCAACTAGCCAGTGTTAACTTTTATTTTTCCAAGTTCTTGTCCAAGTCCCAGAAAGCACTTCACTTACCAAAATAATAACTTAGTGTCACTGCAAATGAGTTACTATTTAATGAAGTTGAACATTCTTTGGTGGAATAGACTTCTAGCTTCCATATGAAACTAGATACTTATGAGCTAGAGTGGATTTACTTTGTTTTAGAACTACCTGAATGCATGGGGTTAACGCGAGGGCAGGCAATTTATTTTGGGCAGGGGGCTGCTTACTGAATCTTGGCAAGCCATCAAGGACTGCATGACAGGCAGCCTAGGGCAGATAAATATTAATTTTCTAGGGGCCCCAGGGGCCTGATAGTGGCCTGGTGGGCTGCATCCGGCCCCTGGACCGCATTTTGCCCACCCCTGGGTTAACACATTGATTCTTGGACAGAGAATTTTGGGTGTAGAGGACTTCTAATAACAGTGGATTGTCAAGGCAGCCAGATAAGAAGATAGTTCCTGACCTGTTACTTCTGCTCTGTCAAGGGACTGCAGGACTGTCCTTTGTCCTTCCCCCATAGCCTGATGGTTAACTGTTTTTTTGTTTTGTTTTGTTTTTTCCTCACCCCCTCTGTAGAAGGAGGCAGCTGTGAAGTTCCATGTGCTCCTTACATCATATGAATTGATCACCATTGACATGGCCATTTTGGGGTCCATCGATTGGGCCTGTCTCATTGTGGATGAAGCTCACCGGCTCAAGAACAACCAGTCTAAGGTACTGGGGGATGAAGGTGGTGAGGCCTGTAGGATTTGAAGGCTAGACTTATGCTGTTCTGCTTTCCTGAATAACAGAGGCCAGAGAACTTCATTGAGACTTCAAAAGTTACAGGTCTGATGCAAGCATGCAGTAGCATACTTGTCAGGAAGATACAGAATCTTGGTTTCAAGATGCAAGGAAAGGGACACTTTAAGCCACTAGAACTGCTTGCTAACTTGTTTAAAAAAAAAAAAAAGTCCCAGTATGAATTTATGTAGGCTTCCAGCCTTTGGATCTTTTTCACTCCTATTAAAGAATCCTATCTTATTGCAAAGTTCCTTGGGTAGGTATTCAAGCTGCAGGATCAGATTAAAACTACCTGTTGAGGAGCTAAAGTCTTCTATCTTATCTGAAGTCAAGACCCACTGTATAGCACGTTTTGGGGTTGGTTGTTTTCTTTCTGACCCTTATATCATTGTGACCTTTCTTCCTTTCCTCTGTTTCCTTGTAGTTCCCTCCTCCCCTCTCCACAACTGTCCCATCTTGCATTGTCAGTACTCCAGTAATCTTAACATTACTTCCACATATCACACCTTCCTAGCCACAACATTTATACTGGAACTCCCAATTTGACTTATCCCCAAGTTCTTATTTATTTAAAATGCTTTGTAGAATACACCTCCATCCTGTAAACGCAACTTATTTTGTTCTAGATGTAGTACCTTCAGTCTAGCTGTATTAAAATGTGAGTGAAGCCATGCTTACCCAGCAGTCCAGCTTGATGTGCCTGTGATGTTCTACCACGCCAAGTTAATCAGAAATTATCTTTTATAATTAATGCTTTACAGAAAATAAAGGATATGTCTAGAAACATGAAGAAATACTTCACCTTGAGAGAAAAGGATACTTCACTAAGCTGCCTTTTAGAATCCCATCTGAGCCAGTTCTTGATTCATTTTAGTGTGGACTGGCTGTGTTGACTTATATAGTCTTGATATGAAAGTCAGAACTATACAATACTAAGTGAAAAGTTGTTCTGTCAGTTATTTCTGACTTAGCTTAAAATTGTTTGACAGACAGACTTCATAACTTTCATAATTTACATAGGATTCTAAAAACATGTTGACCAAATTGATTGAGGGTAATGAGTCGTCTTCATGGCTCATCCTGGTTGTACCTTTTTATAGAAACTGGTGTAACCCCAGCTTTTTCAAGCTTTTGAAACTTTCTGATGTTTAAGATTTGTGGGGCTTGTTTCTTGGGGAGGGGGGTGTTTGCGGGGGAGGTTAATAAACCCATATAAATAGCTAGGAATGCTCTTTGGCTACTCCTAGAAGCCTCTGGGGTCAGAAGTTGAAAGAATGTCATCCTTTAATGTAGGAGAATGTAGAGTTCAGAAAAGGCTGGTCAGCTGGTAGGGCTAGCTAATCAAGAAAAGTAGTTCTGTTGTTTGCTGCAGTAGGCTTCCTCCAGGCAGGCAGAGCTGAGGAGATGCTGGTGTCAAGCAATAGTATGAATGAGAACACCTGGGAAGTGTCAGATTCATCTAGGGCACTTGCACAAACTGTTTAAATGGTCTAAGCTGAGCCTTGACTTGAATGGTTAACTCTAGAAGGAATTTTCCTTAGGGTAGGATTTTTAATTTTTGACACTAGATCAGCAGTCCTTTGACTAGACGAGGTCCTTGACTCCCTTCTTCCTTTCTTCCCCCTTCCAGTTTTTCCGGGTACTGAATGGCTATTCTCTCCAGCACAAGCTGCTGCTCACTGGGACCCCTCTGCAAAACAATTTAGAGGAGCTGTTCCACCTGCTCAACTTCTTGACACCTGAGAGATTCCAGTATGTCCTGCAAGGCAGATTTAGGCTGACTGCCTCTGCCTTCCTACTCTTACCCTTTTCTGTCCCCCTGCAAGTTTGTCACCCTTGCAGCTTTTACTCCAATGCCTGTGTTTTCTATGCAGTAACCTGGAGGGCTTTTTGGAAGAGTTTGCAGACATTGCCAAGGAGGATCAGATCAAGAAGCTGCATGACATGCTGGGCCCACACATGCTGAGACGTCTCAAGGCTGATGTTTTCAAGAACATGCCCTCAAAGACTGAACTTATTGTGCGGGTAGAGTTGAGCCCTATGCAGAAGTGAGTGTTGGGGAAGAGGAAAGCTTGCTGCTTTCCAAAGCAGCTGCCAAGTGCAGCTCAGCCTGTCTCTAGGACTGCTTGCTTAGACATGTTGGGTTCCACTACAGCCGAGGGAGAAATAAATCCTGTGGTCTAATGTAGGGAATGAAAGGATTGTCATTTACCATTGGCAGAGGTGGGTAGCTAACAGGAAGGTAGTTCTCAAATTATCATACAATCATAGGGCTGGAAGGGAGGGCCAAGACCAATGCAATAAGGTGCTGGGCGGGGGAGATATGGAGTAAGTACTTTCTCACTTAAGTGAAGGTATCTGTCTGACTTTGGACTCATTCTCCACAGGAAATATTATAAATATATTTTGACAAGAAATTTTGAGGCACTGAATGCACGTGGTGGTGGCAATCAAGTCTCCCTGCTCAATGTGGTCATGGATCTGAAGAAATGCTGCAATCACCCCTACCTCTTTCCTGTGGCTGCTATGGTATGTTCTATCCGCTTAGGTATCTGCATCTCCTTATTTATGTGGTATGTGCCTACCTGGAGTTGCTCTGCAGCGCCTTTTGTCATCTTGGCTCCTGTAGTTTATTTTTTGTCCAAAGGATTAGTAGGACCTTTTCCTCTTTAGTTTCTTCCCTGTGGTAAGCAGGACTGACTTATCCCTGCCCAGTGGGAAAGGCACAATGAAAACAACAACAGAAATAACTGAGCTGGTGTGGCCTGGAAGGAAAGAAATGGAGTGGAAGTTTAGGCACTAAACTAAGCTGAGTTGAGCTGGCAAATGCTAAGTGGCCCCTGGGGTCACAACATCATGGCTCAGGAATCCCAAAAGGAAATGTAGATTCCCTTTCCCCTAACTCCTGTCTCCAATTCATTGCACAGGAGGCTCCAAAAATGCCAAATGGGATGTATGATGGTAGTGCCCTGATCCGAGCATCTGGGAAGCTTCTGCTGCTCCAGAAGATGTTGAAGAACCTCAAGGAAGGAGGCCACAGAGTACTCATCTTTTCACAGGTATTGGGGTATTGAGACTGAGGGTCCATACATGAGGGGGGTGACCAAAAAAGTCCTGTTTTTGCTCATCTGTTTCATTTCCTTGTCTCCAGATGACTAAAATGTTGGACCTTTTGGAGGATTTTCTGGAACATGAAGGGTATAAATATGAGCGGATTGATGGTGGGATCACGGGGAACATGCGGCAGGAAGCTATTGATCGTTTCAATGGTACGAAACTCCCCATGCCTCTCATAAAAGGAGAACTTTCCCTCACCTTACAGGTGTTTGGTTCCTGACATAGGACCCTTGCCTCTGACTTGAAGCACATACTGCTTGATGTCAGTCATCAGTGCCTGGGTTGAGACGGCCTGCCCCCCCCCCGCCCCCCCCCAAACGAAGGGAGGCTGAGGGGTCAGTTAAGTAATATTGTCTTTCCTCCTGTGCCTGCCTTCCACCCCTTTCCATCCAAGCTCCTGGTGCTCAGCAGTTCTGCTTCCTACTTTCCACTCGAGCTGGTGGGCTTGGTATCAATCTGGCCACAGCAGATACAGTGATCATTTATGACTCGGACTGGAACCCACATAATGACATCCAGGTGAGGCTTTTAGGAGACTGAAATCACAAGACGAGTGGTGAAAGGGGAGGGGGAAACTCTTGGGAGGGATGGGACTTTGTCTGGACAGGGAAAAGGGTCTTCCACTGTGGAAACACAAAACATTAAAGTAGGGGTGGGAAGAGTGGAAGGGAGTTAGCACTGAAAGCTGCTACCTAAGAATGACCTGGGAATGGAACAGGGGAGAAAAGTGAAGGATTGGAGGAGGTACAAAGTAAGACTCGTGGATTTATCATGCCCAGTTTTTTGGGTTTGTTCTAAGCGTGTGCTCTCTCTCTCTCTCTCCTTCAGGCCTTTAGCCGTGCACACAGGATTGGGCAGAACAAGAAGGTGATGATTTACCGCTTTGTGACACGGGCATCAGTGGAGGAGCGTATCACTCAGGTGGCCAAAAAGAAGATGATGCTAACGCATCTAGTAGTGAGGCCAGGTTTGGGCTCCAAGACAGGCTCCATGTCCAAGCAGGAGCTTGATGACATCCTCAAGTTCGGCACTGAGGAGCTCTTCAAGGATGAATCTGCAGAGGGGGGTGAGTGCATACAGCTTGTCTGAGGGATGGTGCCAAAGTTGGGTAGGATCTCCTGCTTTGGCAAGTGAGAGCAGATGGCAACTGCTGCTCTGTAGAGGGGCCTCAAGTTGGCACTTGCTCCAAAACCCTTTTGACATCACCACTGAAAAGCTGTGGTCCTCCCCCTCAGGTGATAACAAGGAGGGTGAGGACAGCAGTGTCATTCACTATGATGACAAGGCAATTGAACGGTTGCTGGACAGGAATCAGGATGAAACAGAAGACACAGAACTCCAGGGCATGAATGAGTATCTCAGCTCGTTCAAGGTGGCCCAGTATGTAGTACGTGAGGAGGAGATGGGGGTGAGTATGAGCTGTGTGTCTTGCCCCCTTTAAACAAAAGGTATATATGACTACAGGGCCTGTGTGGAGCTCAAGAGAATAGGGGAGGGATAATCAGATGTTTGTGACTCATAGGTTTGGGTTTTTTGAGTGTAGGGCTGTCTCCTTATCATCCTCTCTGATGCAGGAGGAGGAAGAGGTTGAACGGGAGATCATTAAGCAGGAAGAATCGGTGGATCCTGATTACTGGGAGAAGCTACTGCGTCATCACTATGAGCAGCAGCAGGAAGACCTAGCCAGGAACCTGGGCAAGGGGAAACGTATTCGCAAGCAAGTCAACTACAATGATGGCTCCCAAGAGGACAGAGGTATGGATAGGTACCCACAGGAGGATGAGAAACTTAAGGCAGAAGTCTGCCAGGCTCACATACTGTTTTTCTTCCAGATTGGCAGGATGATCAGTCTGATAACCAGTCGGATTATTCAGTGGCATCTGAGGAGGGAGATGAAGACTTTGATGAGAGATCTGAAGGCAAGTTCCTAGTGAGAGAGCCTGGCATTGGGTTAGCAGGATTCTTTGGTATGGGAGCTTGGTGCCCCTGCACATGTCCTGTGTTGCAGGATGCCATGAGGGGAATGATACAAGAGGCGTGTATTACACGTTTCCTTTGGCCGTTTGTCTTCTAGCGGCTCGTCGGCCAAGCCGTAAAGGCCTGAGAAATGACAAGGACAAGCCCTTGCCTCCCTTGCTTGCCCGTGTAGGAGGGAACATAGAGGTGAGTGTTATGCTGGCAGGGGGCCTTGAGTCTCTCTCTGTGCCTGTGTGGGGCTTTTAGCATATCTTTCTTTCCAGGTGCTTGGTTTCAATGCCCGCCAGCGCAAGGCCTTCCTCAATGCTATCATGCGTTATGGGATGCCACCCCAGGATGCCTTCACCACCCAGTGGCTTGTCCGGGACCTGCGTGGCAAGTCTGAAAAGGAATTCAAGTGAGTTGGTATTGGACAAGGAAGGGCCGTAGCAGTGTCCAAGTCCTCTAGGGAAAGATGGAAATAGCAATGGAAGATTTGGGGTTCATGTGGGGGGTTGGGCTTTGGTTTAGTTTGTGGGAGCTTGCAGCTAAAGAATAGTGCTAAGGAACAATCCCCAGCAGTCAGGAATCTGGGACTTGGAAACAGCCTCTCTGAGGAAGCAGTCTGGAGCTTTCTTGTCCAAGACTTAAGAGCCTTAAGGAATTTTCAAATATAGTGAGCCTCAGTGTTTAATTCTGCATGTTGCTTGCTACTGCAGGGCCTATGTGTCTCTCTTCATGCGTCACCTCTGTGAGCCAGGAGCAGATGGTGCAGAGACTTTTGCGGATGGGGTCCCACGGGAGGGCCTGTCCCGTCAGCATGTCCTCACCCGCATTGGCGTTATGTCGCTTATACGTAAAAAGGTGAGTGCTTAGTGGAGCAAGGCTAAACTTTACTCCCTCTTCCTTGCAGGGGCCCCAAACTCCTGTGCTTGCAGGAGGGGCCAGTGGAAGAACTCTGCCCTTCTCAAGACACCAAAAGTTTGAGGGACAGGCTTTGACATCCTTTATGACTTGTGCCTTCCTTCTACCCAGGTGCAGGAATTTGAGCACGTGAATGGGCGCTGGAGCATGCCGGAACTGGCGGAGATAGAGGAGAACAAAAAGCTTTCACAACCAGGCTCGCCCTCTCCCAAAACACCCACTCCCTCTACGCCAGGGGACACGCAGCCAAACACACCTGCCCCTGTTCCTCCACCCGGTGAGAGCCTTCTGTTTGCATAGCTCTGTGTCGTGACCCTGGCAAAGTTACTCCCTTCAACAGAGCTGTGGTGGAGAGATTCAGGGTAGACGCAGATCAATTTGTCTCTCAGTTTAGGAGGGCTGCCAAAGAAATGTGCATGCCCTTAAAGGCACGAGAGGACATCCAAGACATCAACCCTATTGAGTGGGTCCAATAGAATATTTCTGCATTTGCTGGAGGGGCAAAGCGGGGTATTTGTTAATGTGGTATCAGAAGCTTGTGGTACTATTTGGCATTTTTGGGGAGGATTAGGGAAGCAACCCATAGAAATTAAGAGCCGCCCCTGCAAATAAGGGCCAGATTTTACTGATGGCTTTTTCTCTTTGTCCTGCTGATCTTTAGTGGGTGAGACAGAAGAGGGAGTAAAAATAGAAGATGGAGCCAGCACCAAGGAGCAAGGGGAGCCCACAGAGTCAGAGAGAGAACCCCACCACACTGCTCCGGCTGAAGTTGAAGTCTCTCTGGAAGTGAGTCCAGGCATTTTTGTTTCATAGTTGTAATAGCCACACTTGTGCTGCCTCTCCTTCTGTCTCCTGTTGTTTGGGATGGCTGTGTGTTTCCTAGGATGATTTGGAGTCCTCTTGCAGTGCTTGCCTCATGCCTCCACAGACAATCTTTTGTATATTCCCTCTGCACACTATTCCTACCTTGCTGCCATTTGAGGCCTGGGGCTCCCCAGCCTCTTTTACCCTGCCTTCTGCTTCTACAGATGGGTCTTTGTGCTGCTGCTCCTTTTGAGTTAAGACTTTCTCTCTCTGGCAGTGTACCCAGTCTGTGGATACTTCACCACAGGAGGCAAAGTCCCCAGCAAACACTCCAGAAGCAGAGGAGAAAAAAACTGAGGAACCAGAAGTGAAGGAAAGACCTGAAGAGCCAATGGAAGTGGAAAGCAAAGGTATTGGTTAGGGGGTTGTTTGGGGTCCAGAGCCTAGTCTTATCTGTAAAGATCAGTGGTTCTCAGCCTTTTCTGGGTCAGGACAGCCCATCACCTCCTTTGAATTTGGGGGCTTCTGCCACTGAGAAGGTGTTTTGATGTTCTTTCAGCTTACCTGAGTGCTGCTTAGCTGGGTTCTGTTGCTGGAAAGGGCTGTGAAGCTGCCCTATGTTGCATAGCTGTGCTATGTGTGCATACTCCTTCTGCACTGGGGCTCTCTGATCAACTTAAAACAGGGAAGAGCAGTCTCCCATATTGTGACGGTCTTTCTGGTCCAATACTTTCAACATTCCTCTCCAAAACAATTGGACAGGATGGGGTAGTTCCAATGGTGCCAGTTTCCAGGAAAAACTTGAGGGGGATGGATGACCAGAAACCTGCATGACATGAGGTGATGTTGCTGCCTGCTTAGGCTGATTTTAGAGACCCCTAATGCAAGGGGAGCACGAGGGGAAGTTTTATCTGGCTGTTCCTACTGTGGCACCCCCGAGGGAAAATTGCAGCACCCTGACTTGAGAACCACTAGTACAGATTATCCTCTTTCTGATCCAGGATGAGGCCTGTAGGAGTACAGGCATAGACATAATGGGGATTGGGGACTTAATCACAGGGGTTTGATGAAGGAAACTTGGATTGATTCAGCCATATTTCAAGCTCTTCACAGTACATCCTCTGCACCCATTAGATATGATGATCTGTTCTCTTCTCATTACAGCTGATGTGGAGAAGGTAGAAGAGAGGGCACTTGCTGAGCCCCCTACAGAACCTCCCACAATTAACTTGGATGAGAAAGGTAAACCAAGGCACTATCAGACTTTTGTTATCTACCTTCTGGGTGGCACCTTTGTGGATGAACTTGTTGTGGCAGTCATCCTTTTCTCTAACTTGTCCCTGTGTCTGCAGAGGAAAAAAAGGATGATGACAAGAGGGATGTAGTGATGCTGCAGAATGGGGAGATGCTGAAGGACACTGATGAGAGGCACAAGAAAGCAGTGAAGCAGCGCTTTATGTTCAACATAGCAGATGGTGGCTTCACTGGTATGTGACACCAGATGCAGTTACAGTTACCCTGCTTGTTGCTCCTCTTTGCAAAAAGTGCTTTTGACTTGGCTGTCTCTGTCTCCCTTCTCCAGAGTTGCACTCTTTGTGGCAGAATGAAGAGCGGGCTGCAACTGTTACCAAGAAAACCTATGAGATTTGGCACCGGCGCCATGACTACTGGCTCCTGGCTGGGATCATCAAGTATCCTTTGGCATTCTGTGAAGTGAATCTCCCACAAGAACACAAAACATCCCCATGAATGGGGATCTTGTCAAAAGGGGGTCAGGATTATAATTAGTAGGGTGGTCCCATCTCTGTCATCCCTACCAAAACTTCTGCTCCATGAAGAGATCTTATCAGCATGGCTAGGATACAGTGAGCAGGACGCTGTTCTCATTCTCTTTCCCTGTGCCTCTACTCTCCCCATCCCCTCAGGATATAATCCTTTGGCATGGGCTGCATATTTGCTTGTTTTCACTACCTTCTATTTGCCTGAGCTCATCCCATCTCAGTCATGGCTATGCCCGCTGGCAGGACATTCAGAATGATCCACGTTACGCCATCCTCAATGAACCCTTCAAGGGAGAGATGAACAGAGGCAACTTCCTGGAAATCAAAAACAAGTTCCTAGCCAGAAGGTTTAAGGTGAGAGCACCTTCTACTTTGAGGGGGGCAGGGTATGTTTAGGGACTTGTCTACTTGGGGACACCTTGCTGAGGACAAATTCAAGTGGATTAGTTAAACTGCGTTAACTTAATGATGGCACATGCTCCAGATATTGTAATTTAGTCTGTCTTTAATTTATTTCCAAGGTACGGTTACTTTTAAAGAGTGTGGTCATCTAGTCAGTTCACAGAAGTGAAAGGGGGCTAACCTACCACAGCTTAGCACAGGGTCCAGGCATGCCACAGGCAGTTAGCGTGGCACAGCTGAGGCATGGAAAAGCTCTACACCTCTGTACTCTGTAAACTATTTGTAACTCCGTACCTTAATTCCAAGTGAGTGTGTGTATGCTTTAGACCAAATGCTTGCTTGGAAGAGATGCTGAACAAAGACAGGTGACCTGAGGAAAGGCATTTTGTGTTTAAGATTTTGTCCAACATCTTCCAACAATATAATTTGGTCCAGGAAAAGGGTCTTACCCAGATTATACTACCTTCTTTTTGTGTGTTCCTTGGACCTCATGGCTACAACAACACTACTGTGTCCAAAAAACTTGAGCCACTGACCTAGAGCAGGCTGTTTTGGTTTTTGTTGTTGGTTTTTTTTGTTTTTTTTTGGGGGGCGGGGGGAGTAGTTGAAGGAGACTCTTTCATGCTTCCTTTACTTTCAGCTGTTGGAGCAGGCACTAGTAATTGAGGAGCAGCTGCGGCGAGCTGCCTATCTGAACATGTCAGAAGACCCTTCACACCCATCTATGGCCCTAAATACACGGTTTGCTGAGGTGGAGTGTCTGGCAGAGAGCCACCAGCACCTGTCCAAGGAATCAATGGCTGGGAACAAGCCAGCCAATGCCGTGCTTCACAAAGGTGAGGTGGTGTCCTGGAGCTGAGGAAAAGTGGGCGTATCTCAAGCTGCACTCCCTTCTGCCCCTCCCTTGTGCTGGTTGCCCCTCACCCTCTAAACATGCACCCCTATTTCTCATCTAGTTCTGAAGCAGCTGGAGGAGCTTTTGAGTGATATGAAGGCAGATGTGACTCGCCTACCTGCCACCATTGCCCGCATCCCACCTGTGGCAGTACGTCTCCAGATGTCGGAGCGCAACATCCTCAGTCGACTGGCCAACCGCAGTAGCGAACCCCCTCCACCACCACCTCCCCAGCAGGTAAGTGCCCTCCCTTTAGGGCCAGTAAGGAACCCCATCCCTTTAACTTGGTCAGCTGGAGGCAGTGGGACCATTGGGGCAGTTCCAGCAGGGTGGGTACTGTCAATGGGCTTTGTCTCATGCATGTGCTTTCTCACTTCACAGGTGGCCCAGCAGCAGTGACTCCACAGCCCAGCACTGTTGATCTCTTATCCAAGCTGAAGTGACCCCTCTTCTGCCTGACATTCCTGATCGGGTGCTGTTCCCCTCTGTGGATGCTGCTGTACGATCCTCCTGCAGGGAGAGGAGACTTCTCCCTCTGCAGCCAACCAGCCACAGGAGCAAGGAGTGTGCCTGGCCGAGAGGGGATGTATGATGGACTCTGTACATAGTGACTGGAGGCCGTAGCGCCACATCTGTTACACAGAAACCTGGCTGTACTGCTCGCTGCCTCGGCCTGGAGTTCCATGTTTTGATTTCTAATATTATTTTGCATTTGTTTACTGAGATGAGAGTGCACAGGCGAGACCAAGCAAAAGCCAGGACAAGAGACAAAGCTACCTCCATCAAGATCGTTTTTAATACAAAAACTGACCGGACTTGTCCACTAATAAACAGCTAAAAAGACAAAAAGAAAAAAAACTTGATAAAACTGAATAAAAGTTTCCTTGTATTTTTGTTCTACTGCCTCCAATTAGCTCTGTTGCAGGGTGGGAGAGAGAGCATCACTGGCCCTTTCTTATAATCCCTGTTCTCAGTCTGTGCCATCTTTGCTCAAGGAATCTGACTGGCCTAGTTTTTCTACTGCCTTCACTGCTCTGTCATCCTCATTGCAGGGTACTTTTATGTCTTGGAATTACCTCCTGCTGCTCTAAGCCTTTTAGGATCTTTTCCAGGGGTAGTGAGCCTGTGCTGTCTCTGTTCCTCTCGAAGCCATGAACGGGCCAGGTCCCAAATAAGCATCCAGTGTCTTCAGTCCTAACTGCAAGCAGGGTGCCCTTGTGTACCATCTTGCAGAGGCACTCCTACATGAAAAGTTAAGCAGTGCCCTTACCTTGTTACCAAGGCATGCCAATGCTGGTTGTGAGGGGAGGATGGAGAGAGAGCTGAAGCTTGCAGCTTTTAACTTTCTCTTATGTAGGCAGTGGCTCTTCCCAGTTGGTCTTGCTGGAGTGGTCTACTCTCATTAGCAGGGCCCCCGGCTTGTGAGGGCTCATCTCCTGCTGCCCTTGGGGTGGCAGCAGGCTGGGCTGGACTACAGCACTACTGTAGAGGCTCGGAAGCACCTTAGGTCCCCTCAAGCAGCTGCTGGCAGGAAGAGTGGGACTCCTGCCTCCCTTCCCCGTCCCTCACACTCCCTGCTCCCATCACGCCTTGGCAAGCGCCCCGCTAGGCGGCCCTGGGACGCTTTCAATTAACCCCGGGTGTCCCGGGACAGGTCCGCGGGTCGTGCCTCGAAGCCCGCGGCCTCAGTCACTTCCACGTGCTCGGCCTTCAGCCGGCGCCGCTGGCAGCGGCAGTGACATCAGCTCCGGGGCGGGGCGCGGGAGGTTACTCACCTGCAACTGGAGTCACTTAAACTGCTGTAGACGGGGCGGGAAGCTTCGCGTTTCTCTGCCCTGAATGGGCGCCGGGAGGAAGACTGGCCAATCAGAGAGGAGGAAGCCTGACCAATCAGAGGGGAAAGGAAGAAGGCAAGAGCTTAGCCAATCCGAGGGTGAGGGATTATCTGAGCGTTCTGAGTTTGCGCAGAGGAAGGGACGTAGCTTGGAGGCCTCCACGTGCGGTCGCTGGTGAGTGTGGGGCCTGGCTCGGCTGGTGGGGGGCGGCCGGCAGGAGGTTCGGAGCTTCGAGATCCCAGAGCGGGCTCCAGCCGCCCTGCCTTCATGGTACCCTGGCTCACGGCTTTACCCGCTTGGGAGTTGCTGTCCTATAGCAGGGGAGGGTGGCTATTGGGCTGGAGGTCCCTTAAAAAGTTTCTCCTGAGCTGTTGCGGGCCGCGGGTGCTGACACACACACTGTCTCTCTCTATGGAGACTGGCAAGCGGGGGGGCAAGGCAATCGGTCCCATGCAGCCCCAGGTTGGTGTGTTACACACACACTGTCCATGGATACTGGCCCAGGACCCCACAGGCAGGGTGCACTCAGCTGGGCAGATGGGATGGGGCCGTGGGTGTGCAGGGTGTGGTGTCCAGGAGCATGACTGGCTGGGTCCAGGGCCTGGGGCAGAACCAGAATCTGTTCCCTGTGATGGATGCTGGTTCTGTGGCAGGGACATGCAGGGAGACAGATTGCAACTGTCTCTCAGGCCCCTGCCCTCATCCTACTCCAGATTCTGCTCCCTGCCTGCAGCTGCATCACATCTTTCCTGGCCAAGTGCAGGACAGATGCAGGGACCCTACAGGGATCCTGAGCCAGTCTCCATGGAGACTCCACTCTGTACAGCACCCCTAGCAGTGGGTGTGGAGTGGAGTGGAGTGGAGTAGAGTGGAGTGGACTGGCCAGAGCAGGTGGGGAGAGTGAGCTGCCACCACAGGGGCTGCTAGGAAGCCCAGTCCAGCCACACACTCCGCAGCCCAGACTGACCCTATGCCTGAGCCAGGCAGTTCAGAGGGACCTGCCATTGGCTGGATAAACTCCTTTGGTGGGCTGGATCTTGCCTCCCTCTGTCCTAGAGCCAGGATAGAGGTGGGTAGAGTGTGTTATCCACAGAATGGCTGGAGACCTCGCAAGGAGGTTGAGAGCTGCCTAACACCTTGAGTACTTATGGGCATGTTACTTTACTTTCCTTTGCCTTATTCCACAGAGGAGCAGCAGCACAATGGGGCGCAAACTTGATCCAACACGGAAGGAGAAACGTGGCCCAGGACGCAAAGCCCGTAAACAAAAGGGGGCAGAAGTAGAGTTAGCCAAATTTCTCCCACTAGGTAAGCCCATCTGTTTTGACATCCCCGTCCACCCGTCTGAAGTGGAATGCAGACCTATTGTTTGGCCTTTTTCCATTACTAGATTCTTAATTTGTTTGTTGTTTTTTTTTTCTCTAGCAGATGACAACTTTAAGAAAAAATTATCCAGTCACGGGCGAAAGAGGTGAGTGCACAGGCCAGTAAGTCTCTTCCCCAGAAGAGACTAAAACCTTTGTGACTTCCAGGGTAGCGATCCAAGTCTGGAAGCCCCACGCCAGACTGAGATGAAGGGTCAGAGAAATGTGTTGGGAGCTCCGGTAGAAAGGAGTCTATCTGCTTAATTAATGTGGTCTTTTTTTTTTCTGCTGTTTCTTTAGAGCTGCAAAGAGACGAACAAGGCCAGGAAAACTCCAAACTGAGAAGGATCTGCTTCTGGTGAAGAAGGCAGGAGGTGAGAAGACATGATTTGGGATGAAGGGAGGAGTGATTAAATAACCTGGATCTTCTCCACAGAGGATTGGATGTGTTCTGACATCCTTGATTGTGATGTTTCTTGGGGTGTTTTATTGGGCATCTTCTGTCCTTCAATCCTCAGCTCTGAGGGGGAGAGCAGAGAGTCTAGTAGAGCTTGGGGATTGTACTTTCCTTGCTGAATTTTGTCAGGTATTCTGTCTGAGGTAGCTGGAAAAGCTTTGAAGGTGCACAGTGGGGTGCCAGACAACACTGTACACTATTCATGGATATATAGCCCTTGTGACTGGGGAAAATAAGGCAATTCACTTATGCCAAGCTACACCAGTCCAGTTTCTTCTTGGGCAAAGATGGCACAGGTTGAGGGATCACAGGAATTATGGGAAAGAGCATCACTGGCCCTTTCTCCCTTGCCGTTCCCTTTCCACCACCCTGCAAGAGAGTTAATTGGAGGTAGCAGAACAAAAATACAAGGAAACTTTTATTTCAGTTTTATTAAGTGTTTTTGCTTTTGTCTTTTAGCTGTTTATTAGCAGACAAGTCCGGTCAGTTTTTATATTAAAAAAGGATTCTGATGGAGGTAGCTTTGTCTCTGTCTTGGCTTTTGCTTGGTCTCACCTATGCACTCTCATCTCAGTAAACAAATGCAAAATAATGTATAAACAGTGCTTGTTAAGTACACTCGTGTCAGTACCATGGTATTGGCATCCCCAGAACTGACCAGCTTTTTGGGGGGGGGGCTTATAATGGTCAGTTTTCGAACAGCAATTAGAAGGTTTAAAAATGAGGAGAGATCAATGCTGTGAGGCTAATGAACCCCTGTTCTCAGTGCTTCTAAGAATAGCCCTTAAACAGTTGCTTCCCCTTTACTGTTTTCAGGCCAGTTAAAGTATGATTAGTTACAAAATAGACAGTGATTCTGAAAGATGCCATGTGATGCATGTATTTAACTGATCATGTATTTAACTGATATGCAGATAGCCAGTGTTTGTTACATGATCATTAGGCAATAATACTGCACTGGCAATGTGTTCTGCAATTAACATGTATTGTCCAGGTAAGCGCACAATTCAAGTCAAGTACATTGCTTAATAAGGTTTTCCTGTTTGGGGTTTTTTTAATTAAAAAAAAATCCATTCCCTTTATGGAGATGACATTTTAACCCTGTCTGTGCTATTATGGGCAGCTGCAATAGCTGGAATTTAAATGTACACTTTGTATTGTGTTGAGAAGTCTGTTATCGTGTCAACTTTGAATCAAATTTAATTTGATAGAATTAGCCCTTAAATTCATCTTGATTAGCCCTGGGTATTGTGAGCATGTTGCTTCAGAACTGGCTCTCTATACAACACAGCCTCAAATTGGCAATTTTTGGTGATTAATTTCATGGTGTTTAATGTCCAGTATCATTCAGCTGATACAAATGGAATAGGTTTTAGAAACTAGCTCTGCAGGTTGGAGAGGGAAATTCTTGCTAGATCCAAGAATCGGTTAATGAGGAGGATATAGAACTTGCATTTATGTTAGTGGGTCATGGTACCTAAATTGCAGAACCTTCTGGGTAGGCTACCAATAAGAGGCTTAGAAACAGGTCTACAGCCTGACCTCTTATTTGATTGCACCTTAAAACATGAGAACAAACATTTATCCCAAGGTCTATCTGGCTGAACCACAGCAGCACAACATAGATTGTCACCTATACTGCCTGGGGAGACTCAGGAGGAGGGTGGCACATAGATTGGCAGCAGGTCTTTTGGAATTCACAGAGTTCTCCAAATTTCCCTCCAGCCTGTGGAGAATTTCAGTCCCCAGTCTCTTCCCTGTCTCTCCTGCTAATTTTTCCTCTTATCATTGTCTTCTTACCTGTCTATCACTCTAGTTGCTAAGCAACCAGCTCTGTCTGCGTAACCTGGACCAGGTTGGGGTGGGGGGAGCTGTTTTCCTGTCTTGTTCTAAGCAGACCCCTTGTGGCCTGGTGGGGGGGGCAAGGCCAGTAGCCCCTTTCTCTTCACCAGGTAGTGATGATGCCATTGGTGACGTGTAGGGGTAGTGGTGATGCCATTGGTGACGTGTAGGGGGTCAATGCTGGGTGCACCCCCTATGAAAAGGTACTGCCGACACTGTCAGCGGTGCCTGCAAGCAGTCACTGCTCACCCACCTCCCCACCCCCTTGCTGCTGGCAGCGTCTGCAAATGGTTGCCACCCCCTGGTTGGTGCTTGCCACCCCCTCTCCCCCACCTCACCGCCACCACTGGGAGCTCCCCACTTAACACTGCCACCAGCATTGCCATGCCCCCCCCCCCCA